CGCTATTAAAGCCTATTCGAAAGTAGGAGCGTAGAGACTCTCAGACTGTGAAGTGCGAACTAAACATAGAAGTTCTTTGCATCAATAATAGTAATCACCAGCAGAATTAGGATGAAGCGGAAAGGAGAAGGTAATATGAAGGAATTAATGAAAATATACATTACTTTTACAGACCTTTTCATGGTAGCAAAAGTGGGGTTTGTGTCTGAATTTGTAAACACGTGTGCTTGGTAGTTGGTAAGTCTAATCATTCTCTGGTCAAATTATTAAATCCATAGAACAGGTTGGGAACAATTAGCTCATCAATATTCACAGGAACATAGTCAAGCATAACTAATAAACAACACAAAACAGTTTAGTATGAATTATTTTTTTATAACACAGACAGAGAAAACAAAAGTGTGAAATTGTTGAGTGATCATTGCTTTCCACGTGTTGTGTTAGTTTGAGGAGGTAGGCCCTAAGTGTTCGTATTTCAATGACATAAATTCTTAAAACTTTTTTTTTTTCGGTGGCAATGAACAGTTCCACGTTTGAGGACACTTATGATCATGTTGGGATTCTGCATAACAAGTGTAAATTTTAACAGTGCATCAGATACTTTCCAATACAGAGGTTGCATAGGAGAACCCAGGCCCTTAGAGTTTTTTTTTCGAAAAGGAGGGGAGGGGCCTTCCCAAAAATTTGACCAAAATAAATAAAAAGGGTCCAAGGGAATAAACACTTTTAAAGATACGCATTTATTTAGAAAGAAGATTTACAAACACTAACATCATTTTATTATTCCTACAATGAAAATTATATTTTTATTGAGGTATCAAGGGGGGTTGTCACGTATAAGCGATGATTTGCAGGTTATAAATGGCTTCCTGTAAGTTGAGTCATACTTGAAGGTCACCCTTAAGACTATATGAATTAAATTGGCAGTGAATTGAAAATGGTCAATGTTGATAGCTTTTACCATCCATTTGTTTTTGAACTTCGGTATAAATCTAAAGAAATCTAGTAGCCTACCTACAGCATTTGTTCCTTGCAATTGTCATCCCCCCATCTACCATCTCTTGCCGCTGAAAATTTGTAATTTTTCCAAAATAACATGTACAGTCGTATTCTGAGAGCAATACAATAGTATGATCTAATTGAGATATTTTTGTAGGACGAGAAACTGAAATTTACACTAATGGTTTTTTTTTTCATTCACCAGTGAAATATACAACAGAATAAATATATAGAAGATCCTGCAAACATTGACGAGTGTAACAATGAGCTCACGAAATGATACTCCTGCTCCCACATGTGTACATGTATCATGAATAAGTCCATTTGTTGTTATGGGAAAGTCCAAATATCTGTCTGATAAAAAGATAAATTAGGAGGTCACAATTTTAAAAAAAAATCTGTAAAAGTATCATTACATTTTATTTAGTGGTATAAGATTAAGAGGAGTTACTGGTAAGAGATGGGTACCCCAAATCGTAATGGACGAACGGACAGCTTTATAGACAGACTAACTGACGGACCACTCATCACAATATACCCCCCGCTTTTTAAAACAGGGTTATTAAAAAAAATAAGGCGAAAGATTTACGTACATCTGCAATAAGCAAGTTTATTCGTACTGATATTTATCACTTGTGGTCCTCCGTAGAAAGTCTATACAATTGTGCATGATCTTATTCAAATTTCCAAGCTATGCAGCAGTAGAGGCAATATTTTAAAGCAAATATATTGAGATGAGACAATAAATATTTAACAAATCGGTTGACATGCTTCTGGATTTTCCTTTGACAGTAGTTAACACTAAGGGCGAAACGATTACGCATGTAAACGGTGACGTTTCGATTACATGCTCTAAATGTTTACAAATTGAGTAAACGTTTACACGAAGGTCATTATCAATGTCTATCAGAAATAAAGTTTAATAAAAACAAGTTGTTTTATTTCATATTTACCAAAGAAAACAGTCTATTACAAACTGTTTTAAACAATATTGTTTTCTGTTTTAATCTAACCAGAAACTATCTAAATCCCAATAGGTCTAACATATTTAATTCCAATTTCCGAGTAGTAAATACTAGCGATGTGTTATGATTTTAATTTATTTTTCAAAGTATATGTTCTAAAATAAATAACCTTTGCTGTTTCTTTTAATTGCTAAGAAAGTACAAATTATCATGCTTATAACGGTACGATGCTTTTTCTACGTCTGGTATGTATTAATGCGTTATTGGGTGACAGTGAAGAAAGTGAATGAGTTTAATGTTCTTTAGACATAAAAACCAACAAATAAATAGCAAGAACAACTCATACTTACATTATAGTGAAAGAATGGTAATTGGTTTATTAAATAAGTGTTTCATGAGTAAGTAGCCATAAAAATTCAACACAAAATATTCTCCTGTTTAAATGGTACCATTTCGTTTATTGCTGTTCGTTTAAACGTTTACAAAATTCAGTAAACTTTTCACCCTTAGTTAACACGATTACAGATGGAATCGGAATATAAATCTCAGGTTTCCGAGATGTATTTTCTCCCGCTAGAGAGGGATAATCAAGCTCTAGTGAGAGGATCTTTCTACAGGGGAATTGTTCTCAACCTGTAGAACCATCAGATCAAAAAAATAAAATAGTGTGAAAATTAAAGTTTGACCCTTGGAAGTAAGATTGGATCGCAATAGGAGACTTAATATAATATGGGCCGGGTAATCCGAGTTTCCTCTGACTCTAACCAGGGACCTATATACTAGTCTCTAACTCTCTAGTCAGGTGCTCTACCAACAGAGTCGTCTGGTAACTGACAGTAGAACCTGTCTGACCTCTACATTCCTCCCCCAAAGGTCTTTGTCCACAAAGGTTTTTCATTGGCAGGTTTTTCACCTGTCACATCCAGGTCACAGTACCAATTTTAACTGGAGAGGAAAAAATGTAATGGACAAGACAAAGGTTCGAATTCAGGTCCTGTCAATAAATTTTTTCTCCTCTCCTGCTACATTTGGTGCTATGCCATGCCCTGGAAATGACAGGTTAAAGACCTGCCAGGGAAGAGCCTGGGATGATGTCTTCAAGGGCCAGAGACGTTTAGGGAAATGAGGTTTGACTGCCAGTGGCCAGATAGGTCAGTTGGTAGAGCACCTTACTGGAGATTCAGGGGGCCTGGGTTTGAATCCCAATCTGGTCTGTCTCATTTTTCTCCTGTTCTGTAGCAAAACAAATATATGTTAATGGCAAACTGCATTTTCTGACCTTCAATTCTTATAACATATCAGTATATGTAGTGCAATTCTATGATCAGTTTTTTTTTTGTTTTTGTTTTTTTTTTGAGTAGAGGAAGCAAAAAATCAAAAGATGAAGAAAAAGTCAGGTATGTATAAAAATAGTTCTTTTAGACAAATATTAAAATTCTGCATTAAAAGAGGTACTACAGACAAGTAAAATTAGATCTGTATAAAACTAGTCCCCCAAAACAAGTTTATTCAAGTGTATAACATGTATAATCATACATAAATTGGTTTTATAAAATTTTGTCATAAACGCATAATTTTGAGAACTTGAATAGCAAATTCCCTATATGACATGCATATTTAGAGGTTTTTATACGCCCGTCTTTAGACGGGACGTATTATGTTATGGCGTTCATGTCCGTCTGTCTGTCTGTTAGCTTTTCTCGTGTCCGGCTCATAACTTAAATACTATTAGGCCTAGGATTATCAAACTTTGTCTGCTGATACTTCTTGGATAGAAGGTGTGTCGCGCACTAAAAGTAGTTCGCTCTGACCTTTAATTAAGATGCTATGGCCAAATATGGAAAAATCCTGTCCGGCTCATAACTAGAAAACTATTGGACTTAGAGTCATCAAACTTGGCCAATTTATGCATCGTAGGTAGGAGGTGTGTCGCAACCTATTTCAAGGTCAATTGACCTTTAATTTAAGTGAAATTTAAAAATAAAACTGTCTTTTTTACTATTAGATTACACAATCCCAAAAAATGCAAGAGTGTTGCAGTATCCTTATTAAAAATATGTTAAATCAAGAAAATACTTATTTTTTTCATTATATACTTTACAGCAATCTATAACAAATGTAATGTTACAAGAGAAATTCCACCTCTCCCCTGAGTGTAATTATCAAGCACTGGTCAAGGAGAATTTGTTAACAGAAAATTGCATGTCAAATTAGAGAGAAATTAATGAGATTAGTGTGAGGAGCTAACTGGTAGAGCATCTCTGATCAAGCAGGTGTTATCTATATCTCTTGGGAACTGGGCAAAAAGAATCAACCCTGTTGGATTAAATAGTTGGCTAGCCTAACTTTTAAAATGAATTTGGTGAAAAGTAATTAAAACTTATTTGATATTGTATAATAAATTAATTTGATATTGTATAATAAACTAATTTGATATTGTATAATATAATTAAAACTAATTATACTCGGGGGGGGGGGGGGGGGGGGGGGGGGGGTATTGGAATCAGCATGCCTGCTGTCTGTATGAATTGCAGCTTAAAACCAGTCTGACATTAAATCTAAAAAAAATCAAGTACATGTATTTAAAAAATGTTTTAATTATGGTAGATAGTCCCTACAAATCTAAGAGTAATGCAGGAACCTTATTAAAAATGTTACATCAAGATTACACAAGTTTTTTTTTTCTTTTTATAAATCTTTGTAACAAATTAAAAAAAAATGTTTGTTTTCAAATTTAATATCAGAATGACATAAATATGCAGATGGGCATTTGTCAAGCTCTAACAACCATTTGAGGATCTATGAAGTAATATTTGTTATAATTAATGCCTACACCACAGATGTATAAGCAAATATTATGAGGAATGGAAAAATTATTGAAATCCTTGTATCAAGGTTGTATCAAGGTTGACATGATTTTTTTGCACTCTAAACTGTTTATGACAATTGAACAATATATGATGGGCGTATCTTGCTGTGGCGGGGCACTTTATTTCCCCATCTCAAAATGCATAAAGAATTGCTAAACCAATAAATATGATTCCAGAAAAGAGAAATGAAGATGCCAGAGAGGAAAATAACCCCAGTGGTGAGTACTGTGTTTGTATTGTGTGATGGGTATATTTTGTGTAATTAGTTGTACCCTATTTTTGTCTTGATAAGCTACAGCTATATTTTGTTTGTGCCTTTGAAGGGGGGGGGGGGGGGGGCTGCAATAGAATTAATGACAACAGGCAATTAGGCTCTGTGCATTATTTTATAGATTAATGAAGTAGTTTTAAAAGTTTGAGAAGGTCATGGAAGTATATATACACTAAGTTTTGTAATTCCTGCTTTCAAATTTTTCACTATATTTAATTAAAGGGTTTTTATCACGTATCTAATTTTTTTTCAAAATGAAACACTATTATATTCTTGAAACCAGTGTTCGAAATTAGCGTCGGCCCATCGGTCCTGCGCTGACATACAAACGGAAGGACTCACATGTATGACTAAATGGGTCCTTGAAATAATTTTGGGCCGACGATGTTTTGCTACGAAACAAGTTAGTCAATTACATCTTCTCAGACTTTTCCGGCGAGCCTGGAAAAATACACCGTTGTTTTTCATTACTGCTTGTTGGAAAGGCTTACGAAGTTGCGATTGAAGTTAACATACATTGGTTTATGCATTTACATTAATTTTTATATCTTTCCTGCATTTTAACATGTTAATTGGATATATTTAACAAATTTACCAATGAGTGTATATAAAAGAAATTAGACTTATAATGGGTAAAACGTATCAATTCTTCTTTTCATGTGCATTTTAAATAAATACTGAAGGTTTGATTTTACGTTATATTTACGTTATATGTATGCAGTAACAAACTTGTCCGAGTATACTTAAGTACATTTTATCAACATATAGTGGCAATCTAAGAAACTTGCATATTTTTCTACCTGCGGATTTTAAAAACAGAAATTGTAATTCCGAGGAAAAGCATGTTACAGTAATATAAACACGTTAAGCTCATTACGTGTTATATATGGCCAGGTAAGACTGTGTGACAATTAATGTTTACCGTTTCATATTGTTAATACTTGCGAGTTGTAAATACCCTTTATTAAATTGACATATTTTATATAAAGCGATAAACTTATGAGATCATCGATACATAAAAGTTTATTTTTCCCAAATATTTGATGGTATTATTTTGGGCTTACGCTGCCCTGGAACACACTGCTCAACGGGTTATCGGCTATTCGGTTGTTATCGGGCATTCGGTGGATAACAACTTTTGACAGGTTAGTAAATTGTTGCAAATAAACATTGAAATAATAGAAACAGAGAATGTTGATTGTGCTTTTTGTGAACAAGAATGAATAGAGATACAAAAAAAAGCCCCAATATGTCTTATTATAGTATTTGTGAGTCTTGGGAAGACTCTAAAGGTCAAATTTGTTATATTTTGCAAGTTTTTGTCCGATTGGCAGGGATCGACATTAACGGTTGTCCGATTGCCCGGGACAAGTAAATTCTCAGTTCGGGCAAGTGAAATTGTCGACGTACTTGTCCGATCGGGCAAGTGAATTTTTCTCAAACAAATGTACATATTTATTTAGTTTACATTAATTTATAAATAAAACAATAAATTGAAGACTTGATTTCCCCCACGCACCTGACTGATAATGTTTTTGCATTCGAAATTCCTTTGTAGCGTTTCTGGATTATACCGCTCATTTAAAAATCGGGTTCGTTATTTTCTTTCATAGAAAATACGCTCTACCTCTGACAAAATTTTGTTAACTCCTTATTAGGAAATTAGATTATTTATTCAAGCACAGAATATAAGTACAGTGTAACACGATGTATCCTGATCAAGATAAGATGCATGTTTCGTAGCATCTTCCTTAAGCATTGCTTCACAGTTATATCTGAAAATCACGAATCACAAAAGGATCCTACCGAAAATAATTTTTTAAAAATATGAATTTTAATAAAAGGAAACGGAGGGTTATTGTTGCATGCCAGTGTGAGTTAACAGGTTAAGTTTTCTTTTCAAGTACAGCGTTATACATTTATGTACAAATGCATCATGCATCGACATTTTTTTCAGGTAGCTTAACTTGCCAAATTGACAGTAGTGTACTCGTATTTGGTCACATTTTTTCTTATCATAACGTTTACATTGATTAATAATTTTCTTCTTAAGTTCTTTCCTAATTTTGGGCAACCAAGTTTTGCATTCGGACAAGTCAAAATTTTAGATCACTTGCCCGAAGGGCAAGTGAATCTGAAAGTTAATGTCAATCCCTGATTGGCATTGCTGCATATAGTCTCTTTCTTCAAAATCCTTATATTTACCTAACATTAGTTATTGTCCACAATGTGACATCGTCAGAATCTCGCAAAGATGCAATTAAAGGGTAAAAATTCCCGTTTTTTAACTTTTAGGATGTTATCGGAAATACGGTTGAATGGTTCACTTTGTTATCGGAAATTTCGGTTTTTGTTATCGGAAACAAAGGTTGTCATAGGTTAGGAAAATGTGAAGTAACAACAGAAAACTTCATTAAATCTAAATATTTAAAATGGCAGGCACACAATTCGAATTTTTGGCTATCATTTGTCTCTTTTTGGAATACTTAACTTCAACCAAAAAAAAAAAGACTTAGTGTTTTTGGCATTTCTCATAATCATTGAAATGCGTATGATCTTGACCTGTTCGAAAATATGGTATAAGTTTTAAAACCTCTGAATTATAAATCTCTATTGTAACCAAATACAGATTCCAGATTTAATTATTGCGATTCTTACATTGCATTACTCGCAATATAAAAGACTCGCAATAATTACTGAATTCAGAGTAATTCATTTTAGTTTTCTGTGATTGCCTTTCACAGTTACGCACTGTCCTTCGCTTTTGTCTCCGTTTTGCTTGCTTCGTCTTTATTCGTTGACTTTGCATTTTTGGTCTACCCTTAACCACTTAGTACTAAGTACATACATGTTTTAGTTTGGTATAGAACAATTAAAGAATCTAAACTCAAGAGTGGTTTAATGAATTTCCCAAAAGGGTGTTACATGTAAGCCAAATATGACCTAGAATTCTAACTTTTGAGGGAAAAAAAAAGAGATTGACTTTACTAGTTTTCAATAAGCGTTACTGAAGGAAGGAAATTATGAAGATAACGAACAGTAATAAAGCTCAAAAGTCTATTGAAACAATATAAATTTGGAACAGAGAAAACACGGACCTCTAAAAACAGCAGAGGTTGGTTTAGTGACCAAGAAGGAATAAACACCCCCTGTCGATCGGTCACACCCAGTGTGCTCTGTATCATTATCGGCCAAATGGAAAACCCGTAGATAATTCAATGTGTAGGTGGAGTTCATGCCTGGAGCTGGAGAGGGGGGGGGGGGGAGGGGGCGTCGAGGAGGTTCGAACCTCACCTGGAATTTGAAGAGTTATTGAATTTTTATACTCAAGTAATAAAAAAAATATCCTCGGCAGTTATGTAATTGAAAATGCTCACAAATATATCTCTGAATTCACAAATTAATGTATATTTACCCACTGTATTTCTTCAAAGTTAATCATTATAGTTTATTATATTACATAGGGAAAATAATCAAATCTCCAATATATTCAGAAGACGAATAGAAACATCAACTATGCATTTTCTAATTGAAAACTGATCAACAAATATATTTTAAGTTGAAAAATAATAGGTATCCAGGCTTATAGGGAAATTTGCATGTTTGTTAAAAAATACTTTTTGATTTTACATGTATAGGTCTTCTATTTTCTTCCAAAATTTATATAATACATAGTGTAAAAAGCTTGTGCTATCATTGCAAGACATCACAAATCACTTCCAATTTCACATTATGATAAAAAGCTAGGTGTTTAAGGTTAAACTCAAGAAAATCCTATTCATCTAAAACTGTATTTATTTTTTACTTGTATAAGGAACAAATGTCAACTTTTTACAAAACCTTTTCTAAGACTTCAAAAACCTCAAGTCGTATTAAGATGCATAAAATGGAAATTGTTGCATGAATAGTTTTCAATTTCAAGCTACATGTTGAGACTTTTTAAATTAAATAGTAATTTTAAATTAAATAGTAATTTTAAGAGTTATCCTTCATGGCTGAGGATTGCATATCCTTAAAACACATTACGTCTGCTATTTTCAAGGATTGACGGATTATAAATAACTTTTTTTCCCAATCTATTTCTAAAGCTGAAAGAAACTTTTTAACCTGAGTTTCCGATAACGTACACCCATAAAAACCGAATTATCCGGCAACATCAACCTTGTTGACGATAACATGTTTTAACCTAACGAGACATTTTAGATGCCTGTTAACTAACCCTTCATTTGGATTTTTGATCTCAGTCTGCTTATCTTCAGGTATATGATTGTCCATAGAATAAATAAACCGTTTTGTTTTATAGAATAATCTGATTTTGACTTCTACAAAAGCTAAAATGTGATGAAATATTACGAAATTTTAATAAAATATCATTTGAAAAAGCTGTATATCTCTAGAAAGAGAGTGATTTGGTTTGTTCTTTTTGCTGCTGAAAGTATAATCATTTATCTGCCGAAGATCACAAACTTTGTTTGCTGAAGTACGCAATTATCGCTGAATTAAGAAATTTAAAATCGAAAAAAGGTCATGTGACTAGTGACGAAGATGGTCATGTTTTAAGGTAGAGAGGATTTAGTCGATTTTTGGGTATGTAAAGCTGTTTTTTGTGCCTTAAACTTTTGCACTGGTGTTTGTGATCATATTTGCAACCGAATTAGTGCGATTTTGCCGTTTATATTTGTAAAAAGGATTTTTGCTATTCAATATCGCAATGAGTGACTCTAAAATGAAGGGTGAGAACTCCTCACAGGTACGAGGCCCTGGTTCAACGTCTTTACCCTCAGCGGTCACTGGCGCATTAAGCCATATATCTGTAATTGACACTAGCCTACGGGCAATAACGGCCAAGATGGACGCATTTAATACACTACAGGAATCAGTGAACAATATGCAGAAAGATTTATGGAATGAGGATGGTTTAGACGATAGAATAACTTACATCGCCCA